CGATCGCGGGCATGCAATTAATTGACAAAGTAAGTGCATTGGCATACGCTCTGTCGGGCTCGACGGCGCCATCCGCTCGATTCCGGCCTGACCTAGAAAGCGCACCTGATAGAGCAGACGGCTTCGTTCCGGATAAATCAACACCCGGGTGCTTCTGGCGTCTCGCCCCTTCTACTTTCAAGCGGGATTGACTCTAAGCTGTCGTGCCTAACCGCCCCATTTCAATCAGAGTACAACCAAAAAACGCAATCGGTTATGGGGTGGGGTTTTCGCAGCGTGGAACAAAAATGCGACAATTAGTCATACTTAGCAGTCCAAAAGAATATTCTTGTTTCAACTAAAGGAAAATTATCCTTCCGACGATAATTCGACTGTTGCAGACGACAATGTCCGCCGTTGTCCCACGAGTGAATTTGTTTACAGTGAGACAGACGCGCACTGCATTTAACAACGACACACTCCTTCCACACCGACTTTTTTCCATGGGTTTTTACGGTCGAGGTCGGTACATTCACAACCACTCTTATAAAACGCTTGGTAAAACGTCAGTTGAACCATTATCCCTGGGTCCTGACTTTTGCATGCCTCGTCAAAAAGTTAATCAGTTATTGTCGCTTTTTAATTTCCACAGAAATCTACGAAGTTGGAGTAGATCAGTATATTCAAGGTCTACAGGCACAGACCGGGAATTTTATGTATGAATATTTGGGCCAAAGTTCATCAGCCACAGCCGGTAACCGCGTAATATTCATTAACTGTCGACAGATAGCTAATAGTATACTTTAGGGTAAGGTGAGATCATACTAACAGCACAGGTACTAGCCACTGACCCACTGACGAGCCGAACTCCTCGCAGCTGCGCCATGCAGCGGCAGAATATTGGCGAAACACGCGTGTATGGGCTTTTGGTTTGTACCTGTGCTGTTAGTATGGTATCACCTTACCCTACAGTTACTCAGTTAGTCTGAGATAAATTAAGTGCTCACCGGATCGTGGGAATTGTATTTCTGACGTTTTGGGGAGTTTGGCCAGCTCTCTATTATCAAAGCGTCTAGTGCAATAATCGACCATAATTTTGAATAGACAGCCGAATTAGTTGGCCTTGAGCTGGTCGATTTTTTTCCTCTTTCACTGCCTTAGCGTACTGGCCGTCGTTTGTGAGTGTTGGTGGCCTCCTCTGTTATGTGTCGTCACCTCAATTGAGGTTAGTTGCGCTTGTGTTCCCCCCCTTTTGGGTGAATTGGTCGACGGCCGTGTCGGCCCGGTATTCTTAAGCTCCGTGTGAATGTGTTGTCCTGGCCATGGTGTATGTAGTGGCGTACGTCCTTATAGACCGCAGGAAGGTCTAGAGGCTTGTTGATGGGGTTAGCATTTGAGTGCCAATCCGTAAGTGTGAGATGCTCTGGTGGGTCTGCAATTTCTGTCCGGCTGTCTATTCAAAATTCCGGTCGATTATTGCACTAAACGCTTTGATAATGTAGAGCCGATCAAGCTCTCCGAAACGTCAGTAATACAATTCCCTCAATCCGGTGAACACTTTATTTTTCTCAGATTATCGACCCCGATCTCTTACGTTTACTAACTTAATCAGTTAGAATCAAAAATCTAGTTTGAGAACCTCTGCATCCAAACCTACGATTTAGCGTCTTTTTCGGCAGACAGTGTCCAACGCTTTCAATCAACACTGGTAAATTGCAGTTCAGTTATTGGTATTTGAACTAGGAGCCAAAAAGTCGGGGAATGTTGACAAAAGCCCATATGGCGAAGTTGTAGCGGACTTTGAGGGAGCAAAAATATCTTGCTAATTAGGCCGGATAAAGGAACAGGTATCGTTATAATGTACAAATCGGACTACATAACGAAGATGCGGTCCATATTCTCAGACCAAAAGAAATTCAGGAAGGTAGAAAAAGAAAAAGATTGCACAGATGAAACAGATGCAAAACTGACCGACCGTCTAAGAAGGCCCTATGCAAGGACCGTGACCTCAGACACCTCCGGCCAGCCGGCACGCACACATCCCTCGACCTTATGGTTTATCTAAGATTCATGAGTACAGCATGCCAGTTCGTCCGATTTTAGACGTGCGAAACTCTCTGTAGCATGGGATAGCGAAGTGGTTGGCAGAGAAACTCAAGTCCATACACCATCAGCAAGCAGCACGCAGCTATTGAAATAACTTCAAATTCATCGCCGACCCGGTCACCGAGAAATTCGATTGCATATGTGAATTTCTATCAGATTGGCAAAGTTGAGTGTTCCGGGTTGATTATTTGAAGAAGATGCGCCCTCCGGAATAGGTTTAT